TTCCATGCATTGTTGTGATTTTGTGATTGTGGCTTGTTGTATACAAAGACTTGGACGAATTTGTATAGAATTGCCAAAAAGATGATGGGGATTTGGTGCAACTTTACAGTTGGGTTCACCTGGAAGAGAGGAGAACTTTTTACTATTGATTGGTGGGTTAATTAATCACGTATGGAATAATATTATGTACCTTAATTTGGTTATTCCATCTTTGGGATAAGATTTACATTAGGGCAAGATTGGAGTATATGGTATAAAATCTTAGTCTTATATTATTAACTACGTGTCAAATTTTAGTTATATCTGGCATGTTATTGAGAATTTAGTAATGAATGTGACAATTTTGGAACCTTAATTTGTGCTAGATATTTGCTTCGCGTTTTGCGGCGGGTAAACTACGACTCAAGTTGGGGTGCATAACTTTAATGTGCTTAACATGAGTAATCACATCTGGACCCTTTATTTTAAGTGGCTGTAGATCTAAGGGATGTGAATTAAAGGCATTTTATTTCCCATATTTTTCTTAATCGGATCATATCTTCTTCATTCTAACTCGGTTTTTTTCCCCACAGATGGAACGAGTTATTTGTGCTCTACAAAATGAGATGCATTTTCAATGTTTTTTGAGAAAAAAAAATTGCATACACCTCTCGCTACCAACTCCATAACATATGGTATCTCCTTCATTTTAAAGTTGTTTTCGGAAATTTTTGCACAGAAGGAACGATTTAACCATTGATCTATCGGATCAAAAATTTCAGGGCGAAGATTTTTCATACCTCTCGTTATCAACTTCATACTATACTATACCACCCTGGTATGCTTTTATTTAATACCAGTCAAGACCATATGGTATAGACTGGTAAAAAATAGCTCAATTTTTTTTTGTTCCAAATATATAACAACGTGAATATCATTTTGAAGAGCACAATTAATATGATCTAACTGTGAAAAAAAACTTAAATTCATACTTAAAACGAGCGAGAAATCGTCCGTTAAAGATTAAGAAGGAAAAATTAAAGACTTTCCAGGAGAGAGAATGGGCGGTGATATGACGAATTGTGATTGGATTATGCATGGTTATGCACCACAAGATCATGCATGGGATCCGTTCTCTGTAAACTACTCTAATATGTTATAATAGTGACAAAAAGGAGAGCTAATTATTATGGAAGTTTTTCATTCATGTTTGCAACATCATATTATGTTGTATTTACCATTATCATAAATTTCTCTTATAGTGTAAGAAATACTAATTATTGTCTAACTAATTATTTTCTAATTATTTCTTTGAAAATGTAATCTCTCTTTTTTTTTTTTTGTGTGTGGAAAAGCCCTTCTCACATTTGGCAAATGTTTGCAAATTATTGGAAGAAAACAAGAGAATCTCTCGGATATTGCAATTGTCAACACAGTTAGGCTGCTGCATGGGTAGGAAAAGCCCCTTTCTTTGGCTTTGGCCAATAACTTGGCAAACAAAAGATGCTACCTAGCTATAGCTTCTTCAATTTCCAACAAACCAGAAAATTTCGTACTTGTGAGATCCCTTTGCAAACCCTTTTTTTTTAAACTTGTGTCATGTTTGTGTTTCTTCGCCACGCCTACTCCTACGGCTCGTAGTCTCCCCTTTCCCCCACATTTTTACGGCCTTTCTCATTATAGTTGTCAAACCGGTATTGGATAAAATCAGCTGGAATTTCACTTTTTTTTTTTGACAAAGTGGATGCTTGTATTTCACTTAGACAAAACACGGTTACAAAGAAGAGGAAAACCCCTGAAATTCAGCTACCAGAAATAAAACCCCAAACAAGAAAGAAAATCCAAACCAACCAGTAAAGAACATCAACATCCAGAGAACACCTACAAGGAAAGCAACAGCCAAAAAAATACAGAAGGCAACACAACAAGAACAGAAACAACAAGGGGACCTTCCATGAGCCAAATCACAGGAATCAGCAAACTTTGTAATCATATCAACCGGAGTGGAACACAGCAGCTTCAGCTCACCCAAAACTAGTCTTGACCATGATAAAGGCATTGCTAAATCATATGCCGCCTGCTGGGGGTTGTTCAAAGACACCCATCACAGTGAATCGCCGAATAGGGATTGCGCGGCGGTGGAAAGGACTGTGAACGGGTTGCTCAGAGCTGAAAACAAGGCCAACGGGACCGGAGCGGAGAGAGCCATGAAAAAGTAGTGTGAGATTCACCCAAGGGTTGAAAGACAACCACACAAAAGCAGAACCGAGAAGAGAAACCACCTGCAAAACCAAACGCCGACAGAGAACCACCAAAACAAACCCAAACCCAGAAACCAAAGAAGCCGCCCCAGCAACACAAACACTCCCAACAACACACAAAAACTGTAACAAACGAAACCCTGAATGAATCTCAAACCTACTGCAACCAAAGTTCACCCGCCTCAGCAATTGAAGGAGACACCGCTTCCACTACAGTCAGTCGAAGCCTCGAGGGGCGACGACGGATGGGGAATCGGTGAATGCAATCACCCTTAAGGAAGAGAAGATGACCACACCAAGCTTGGATAGAAACCCAATATGCATCCTCTGAACCCAGAACAGAGCAGAGCCAAACCAGATCTAGAAGATCTATAGAAGAAACCGGACTATCCTCCTCCTAACGAGAGGAATGTGGAAAGAACCACTTAGGGAACGAGAAAAGCCACAACGGCTGCAAAATGCCACAACGGCTGCAAAATGCCATAAATGGCAAGGAAAGACAAGAAAAAACAGAGGAAGAGGACGAGGAGCACGAAAGGAAATCGGAAATGAAAAGGAGGATTGGGCTACCGCCGGTCACCAAGATGTGCCGGCGGCAGCCCTGGGAGACTGGAAAAATACAGAGAGCTGGGAAAATTGAGACTAGAGAGAGAAAGGGGAAAAGCAGTTTGAATAGCTGGAATTTCACTTGTATGAAGCGGTAATCATAAAAATCAGTTGGAATTTCACCGGTATGAAGCGGTAATCATATCCAGTTAAAAGAATGATGAATATTTCTCAATTTGTTTGTGATTTAATATTTTTATTTAAACACGAATGAAGACTATAGGTAGATTGTCTTAAAATAGATTGTATAAATGCACAATTCATTTGATGTTAATCGTTTTTCACTTCCTCTCATATGTTTTGTCAAAACCGGCATAGAAACTATTTGCGTCCCCATCGGAGCATACCACTTACTAAACCGATTTAACAACCGTGTTCCTAAATCCACAGAACTTCATGTTCCCATGTGTTTCTATTCCACGCAGGATATATTAGGGCAATTGAGCTCAGGGCTTGTTAACCGCACTTAGTTTCGTCTAGACTTCAAGATTATTGACAATGATTGTGTTCTCGAACTGTCAAGTCATTATCAAGGCCCTTCTTTGCCGAAATTCGATATGACCGGATAAGCGATGGGTTGGATTTATTGTTGCATTTTGAGGATGTGATATTTGAGTCTTCAAAATATATTACCATATACCGTCTTTTTTTTTTTAATACAGTAACGAAAGAAAATTGCAATATCAAACTTGTCAACCAGTTGATTCATTAACACAAACCCATCACATTCAAAAGGGTGAAAACAAGATATATCTCGAGTTTTGGTTTCGAAAAAAGAGTGTGTAACAACTTTTTGTATCTAAAACTTGTTATCAGAGTAACAAATTGTACTGCGGTTAAAGAATCAAGTAGTTCAAATAACTCAATTTGTCGAGAGAAATTCAAGAAATTGGTATACTCTCTCCCCTTCTAGTTCTTAAAGCTAGTTTACAAACTTTGAAGCCTTCCCCACCATATTATACCATACACAAATAGAACCATACTTTTCCATGAACATGTCGTTTTCAAATGAGCTCCCACACACATCCATCCTCTTTCTCTTAGCTAGAATATGTACGTCCCAATCTCATTTTCCTATCTCTTTCCTCCAAAACAAAAACAAAGATTCCTTACGGTGGGAGGCAGCTTGATGGAGGCTTCTCTAATCCTAATTAGCTGGTTTTTGTTGTTGATATGTGTATAGATTTGAAGATTCCTTAAGAGATTTATACTAAGGAACCACCTTCTATCTTCTTCTTTTCCTTTACTAATCCATTGCTCAAGATGCCAACTTTCTGAATTCCACACTTACAGATAGGATAACTGAGCACGGAAGAAAAGATTAAAAGAGTTTGTTCTGATACACATTATGAAATCGGGTCATATATAGCGTGAACATATCGAAAGTAACGAAACACACGTAATTCTTCTAACTTTTTATTTTACGAATATGTAACTAATTAGCTATCTAGTTTCATTATGAAGATTTCGACATAAAATCTTTCGATTGTCGTCGAAAAGCTCTTTCAGTAGTACTCTATGAGGAAAATGAACTTTAGGTCGCGGGTCAGGAACCTTCTAGTCTTCTCTAATCAAAACCATTCGCGCTGCAACAATCGATTCCACATACCATATATGGAAAGAGCAAGGAAAGAATTTTAGTGGCCTAACAATGACACACCCAAATCAAAAGAGACAAAGAACAAAAACACATAAGAGCTATAGATTCCCCCCTTCCTCCAATCTTCTCATCAAGACTAATACCAAAAGACACAAAGCATTCAATATACTACCCTATCATCCCCATTCTCCCTCTCTCACAAGAGTGATGGGAACATCATTTCTACCTCACAAGTCACAACCAAACAACCCCTTAGCTAAAAAAAAAAAAAAATCCCATTTCCCATCCTCCAGGACTTTCCATTCTCCACATCATAAAAATTCAATGCATCCATCCATCCATCCATCCAACCAAACATGCCCTTAAATCAAATATTTTATAATATAACAATCTTAATTCTCCTCATCCTACGTGGAACACACAATTCCCTCACCCTATAAATACCCTCCCTCCCTTTCCCCAAACCTTCCCAACTCATCTCTCCCTATAACTCTCACAACTACAAACTCAAGTTTTGGGTTTTTGTTAAGAGCGAAACGACGTAGCTTTCTTCGATGTCGGGGGTGTGGGTGTTCAAGAACGGCGTGGTGCGGCTGGTGGAGAACCCGGCGAGCGAGTCGGCGGCGGGGGCGCGTGGGAGGAAGGTGCTGGTGCACGCGCCGAGCAACGAGGTGATCACGTCGTACGCGGTGCTGGAGCGGAAGCTGTCGGAGCTCGGGTGGGAGAGGTACTACGACGACCCGGAGCTGCTACAGTTCCACAAAAGGTCTACCGTCCACCTCATTAGCCTCCCCAGGGACTTCAACAGGCTCAAGTCCATGCACATGTACGACATCGTCGTCAAGAACCGCAACATGTTCGAGGTCCGCGACCTCTAAGAGGGTTCGTGTGTTTCGTGTTTTTTTCGTGTCAACTGATCGACGATCGATGATCAGTTGGCGCGAGATCGATCGATCTCTCGACTCTCCTCCACCGTGCTCTTTTTTTTTTTCTCCTGTTGGTATTTGGTTTGGATTGAATCGTCAGTGTATTTGTGCTTGAATTTTTTCTTCTTCTTTCTTTTTTGGATTCAGGGTGGGATTTCAATTCAAGGTTTAAGGTTTGTAGTAGGAGTAGTGGTCTAATGTAAGATGTGCAATGGGTTTTTGTTGTTAATTGTGGGGTTTTGTCATTTTGGCAAAGGTGTGATGTTGTGAATGAAAAAAAAAAAAAATCTAATGTTTGTTTCTGCTCTAGTTTGTCTCCTTTTCCTTTCTCTTATGTTTGATGATCAATGAATCGAGTAATTAAAACGAGAAAATTTCGTATATGATGTCAAACTCATCCCGAAAACACTTGTAAACAAAGGAATCAACCATAATCTCCACCGAAACTTAGTTTCATTGTGACGATCAACTATGACCACATACAGCCTACACTGAACACGGTTCGTACCCATCTTCGCGTGCGTGTATATTTTCTATACGGAATTGATTAGCTAATAGTTACCACCTGAATGAATATGTACCTTTGTGTGTGTGATTGTGTCTGTGTGTGCATATAAGGAAAGAGTCAGGCAAGGCCAGCTAGGTGATGAATGAGACAAGTCCTATAGCAATTTGCTATTAGGTTTTCTTTCTTTGAAAAGAAGAAGAAGAAGAAGAAGTGAATATTGAATTGAATAGCTGTAGGCAGGGGGAGTTGCATTATTATTTGATTGGATTTATCATTTGGAGATGGGATGTGTGGTTGGGATCCCATTGATGATTCTCTCTTCCAAACTAGTACTACTTTTGCCCAAATGGAAACCTTTCCCAAAAATGGAATTTAGAAGTGACATATATATTGTACGCATGATGAATTGTCCCTGACAGGCTCAAAAATTTCCCACATTACTTGTGGCTAGGTTTTTCTCACAAAATTTTCTTCATGTGGGGATTGATTTGATGTATCAGTAAGGTGAATTATTGATCTCTAGGGGCATCTTCTTTTACTGTTACGTTAGTACTAGGGTGAATATTTTGTTACGGTGTCAATAAAATTGTCATAGTACAATTAGTGGAAGTAAAGGTACACACTAGAAAAAGTTGAAAAGAAACCCTATGAAACAAATAGCAAGAAGTAGACTAATATTATGGGTAGAATTCAAATTGCAAATATCCAAAAAGTTTATTGTGGTGAGACTAATCCCTATGTGTTTATAGCAAGGATTGAAAACCCATCCCGTACCGGCATACCGGTGGTTTGACCATAAATACTTCCTATTGGAAGCTAAACTGGTAGGCGGTATTTAGCGGTATAAAGAGATTGAACAACGATTAATTAAACCACGATTTTAGTCTAAAATACTCTACCCCCGACTTCTCCGATACAACCTCCGGTACTGTATTTCAAACTTTAGTCTATAGCCTTTCCTTCCGGCACTAATCTCCAGGGGAAAAAAGTTACCATGTGGGAGTGAAGCAATTGCTTGGTTGAACTCGATGTAAATGATGACCAACCTTTGAGTGTAAGAGAGCAAGAGTTTGGAATAGGACCTACGATTCCCAATTTGTGTAATAGAATGTGATATATTTTTATAAAATTTGCAAACATACACCCTTAAATAAAAGTCAATTTATATGAACATAGAGTATGCAAACATCTAAATACCGTGTCGAAATTCGAATACAAAAATCTCTAGATCATCAAAAGCTCTGATGCCCATCCACGCATGTCATGAAATGCAACCGTCTGAAATAAGGATAATAGTATTTAGGTTCATCTATCTTTGCGTTTGCTTGGGTCTAACGCAAGAAGCCTCTTCTATACTATTATCAAATTAGTATCCAAATTTATGATACTTGCATTATATTAAAGTATGACTAGTATGATCATACTATTGAGGAATAAGGATCTTTTGAGGACCCTTTAGAGTTAGGGATATTGGACGGAATTGAGGCTGGATTATGATAGAATTTACTATTTAGGAATAGAGAGAAGAACAATTAAGAGAGGGTGATCGATGGCCGAAATGGACAAGAGAGATAAGGAATTTGGCGTAAGAGTGGGAGATAGAGAGATTAGGTTTAAGGAAATTACACCATAAATTACAAAAAAAAAATATATAGATAATTCGCTTGAGCTACACCTATTTCACCCGCTAATAATCAAAACTACTAATGGTTTATAAAACACTCCATCAATTGAGTAAATAAACATATAATTTGTCATGGAGTCATATTGTTTATTAGAGTCCAGCAATTAGATGTTTTTCTTGAAAGGGAAAAATCATAAATAAAAGAAAATTATATTTTCTGGAAACAAATAGAAATTGATAAGATGTTTTCACAAATCTCCAGAAATAAGAGTTTTTTATTTTATAAAAGCCAAAATCATAAAGATTTTCAATTCGACTTAGGGATGACAAAATAAGATTTAATATTTTGGTATTACCCAAACCAAATTTTTGGGATATACTCCTGCCAAATTTTTTAATTTGGGTTTAAATTGGACCTACCATATATTGGATGCCCAAAAGAAAATATGTCTCGATTATAAATTTATAATGTAATTTATGTCTTATTTTTTTTGTTATGAAACAAACGAAACAGTGAAAACACCTATATTAAAGGCGTATAATTGGACTGAATAATATACTTAATGAAATGACCGACATTGTTTTTTTTTTTTAAGTATATATTACTCTAGACCCAATTTAAACCAATTCAAATCTAAAGTCATATTATAAGTACACATATAACTACACGATAAGTCATTCTTATCATTAGCTAATTAAGGGTATACTGCTCACGTAGTGTTGACCTGTTGAAGACGTACAGTTTTTCAAGACCTTATATTAATTTGTCGGGTCAAAATTTGACTAGGAAACTCGAGAGTTATGACTTATGAAGTTGCGGTGCTGCATGGTACGTTACTTTCACTGCCCATGCCATGCATTTCTTTGCATTGCACTACTATCGCACTATATCCAGCTAGCCAGCGAATCCAACATAAACACGTGCACAATTTGAAAGACCTAACATTTCACACCCACTACGTACCAAAATGGAAAGACATTGAAAGTGTCATACGCTGTCTCCACATCAAATTTTCTCGTCGCTCTCGATATTAATCGCCGATATTTCCTAGAGCGAAGTCACATTTATAATCGTGCATTATTTTTTATCATTAGACGTGAGCACGTGAACGAATTGATCATCAGAAAATGTGTTCAAAATAAGTAAAGTACTACTTGTTGAAAATATAAGTACCTTAATGTAATTGTACATATAAGTCCTTAGTTATTAGGGTTAAGTAAACCTCTATATATATGAATGTAATCCGTGTATGCTGGGTAACAAGAATAATAAGATTGACTTGGAGAGCCTGCTCTCCCGTGGACTAGTCCTGTTGATCAGGGAAACCACGTTAAACTCGGTGTTCATGTTCTTTTAGTTTGATTTTGATATGGTATCAGAGCCTCTCTGATTCAAGGACTGGTATTCTTTGTTCGCAACAAGCTTTGGTGACTTCGTTCCGCAGCTAAGGTTCCGCAGCTAGGGTTTCTTTTTCGTCAGGGTCCCGCTGCTTGCTGGTCTTGTTCTTCCGCGTCGGTCTCTCTTTCGCGGGCAGGTACTTTGCTTTTCTTGGTCTTGTGTGCTGCTAGTTCAGTTGTCTAAGATGGATTCTCAGAAGGTTGGCAATATCTCCGTTAAGTTTGATGGGAAATTTTTTTCATTATGGGAGTTTCACTTTAGAAACTTTGTGGAAGGACAACGGCTGTCATCGATTTTGACGGGTGAATTAATGAAACCCGCCGACACAGCCGATGAGAAGGAAAAGGCCGACTGGGCCGCATCCAACGCGCAGGTCGTCACTTGGTTGTTGGGAGCTGTTGATGTCCCGACCGCTCTCAGCTTACGTCGGTTTCGAACTGCTCATGAGATGTGGAAACATATCTGTAGTACGTACTCACAAGCTGATACCTCTCGGCTTTATGAGCTCGATCTAGAGCTTGGTGGTTTAGCTCAAGGTGATCGTGATGTGCGCAGTTATTATAAGCATGCACTTCATCTATGGACAGAATATGATCTGGTTACCGCTTCCTTATTGACTGGAGATGCTTCTGTTGAGGTTCAAAAGGAGCGAACTCGGACTCGGGTTATGCAATTTATCATGAAACTGAGGGCTGAATTCGAGCCCATTCGGGCCTCCTTAATTCATCGAGGGATCACTGATTTAGACTCTGTGATTGCCGAGCTAGTTAGGGAGGAAACAAGGCTCAAAAGTCAGTCCCGGATTGATCACCATACCTCGGATTCGGCATTTGCTGTGGGCCGATCCAACTCCTCCTCTCGTCCACAGTTCGGTGCTCCTCCCAGTGGTGATGTGATCTGCCATCATTGCCACGAGTCGGGGCACGTTCAGATCCACTGCAAGAAGCAAAATTACTGCAATTATTGCAAGAAGACGGGTCACATTGTTCTTGAGTGTCCTCCTCTTGTGAAGAGAGGTAAAGTTCGCTATCCCACATATGCTATGCCCGCTGGAAATGCTTCATCGGCAGGCCGCGTCACGTCCAAGCCTCAAGGCGCCGCCTTTGCTGTTTCGGACATTCCTCATGCGCAGCCTGAGGCCTCCTCTGGTGGCAACAGTTTGTCCTTTTCTTCTGAATTTGTTAAGAAACTTGTTCAGGAGGCATTGCAAGAGGCCCTGCCGCAAGCTTTGACATCAGCATTTGCTACTGGTGCTATCTCCGGTAAGTCAGCTAAATGGTTGTTAGATTCTGGTGCCTTTAATCACATGACTCATGTTCGTCATACGTTTGATAAGCTTGAACCAGTGCAAACTTTCCACCTGCGGGTAGCTAATGGGGATCAGATTCCTGTAGTTGGTCGGGGTACTTCGTCTACGGGCT